CATGGTAGAACAAAGCTACTTGCCTCATGTGGCCAGGAAGCAGAGAAAGAGAGGAAGAAGGTCAGGGTCAGAGTCCCAGTATCACTTGCAGGAAACTCCTTCCTGGGCATTCAGGGTTTCCCACCAGGCCCTTCCTCTCCTCTTAGTATCATGGTTACGCTTTTACGGGACATTTAAGATCCAAACCAGTCTCATCAGACACTCTTCATTGAACGTATTTCAAAAAGTGGCAATGCAGAAAAATTCAGTCTTAGAACATGGTTTATTTCTATGGACTTTGAGTCTACCTTACTAGAGTTCAGATCCACTCAGGAAGATGAGCTTTTTTGCCAGTGTCCACCAGTATTCTCTCCCAGTGCCCACCAGTATTCTCTCCCAGTGTCCACCCATGTTTACCACCTTGACCCTTACCTTTAATGACGCTAACGTTGATACCAACACACTGAGTGCATCTGCCTTAGAGTGCAATCGTAATAACCACATGATATTCAAAGAATTCTTGTTACTCATTTACAATGAATGTTTTCATGGGCACACAGTTTAAAATGCTTGTTTTGTCACAGCTACTGTCAAAACATAACCAAAAGATTATATGTCAAACAGGGTATCACAAGAGATAAGATAATAAAGTTTGGTAATTCAAATATCTGTTAATGTATTCATATAATGATATAAATAGATGGGCTGGTGGTACACTAGAGTTTCTCCTCAGATGAGACTACAAGCCTATCAGCTGTACACCCTAGAGCCATGTTCATGATTATGAATACTGTGGAAATAATTGTTTTGGCTTCACTGTAGTCTCTCCTAGCCTCTCCTGAATCACAGAGGACAAGTATCAATTATAGTGGAAAACAAAAACGTGAGTTTTGGGGACATCAGGACTTCTTGACACATACACCTCTTTTGTTGTGTATTTCATCTGCCTTGTCCTTGAAAGCACCTGAGTTCCCAGTTCCTGCCCTGATGAATACTCTTAATTTAAAGCCATTTCACTAAGGTGGCCATCTGCTTTTAAAAATAATCTTCACCAATCCTAAATGACTTAAGCTGAAGAAGGCCTTGAAACATAAAACTCAAAGAAGTGATGGTCTCTGCAACCATCACCTAAAGTAGCCAGCTGCTTCTGCCTTGCAGATGAAACTGTAAATTGTTCTTCTGGTTAGGAAAGTTTTATAAACTATTTGCTTTAGAAGCTGTGGACCAAGAAAAGGGAAAGTGTCCACAGAGTAATGTGGGTTGAAGTAATAAGTTGTCATTGGTGCACTGTTGCAGTTGTAGCCTTGTATACTGAAAAGTGGTATCTGTTCTCAGGCTGGTACTGAAAAACCAGCTGTTAAGACTTGGAGACTTTGTGGAGCTGCTTGTTGGGGTGGAGGTAAATACCCTGGCTTGTCTTGCTGAAGCCTCAACTGAAATGTTCCTTTCTCTACTGATTGCTACACTTCTGGTCAAAGTTTTAGTTTTGATGGTCATATGACCAGTGGAAATCAGAGAAGGAGTTAGAGAGCTGTTGAAAATAATTTATAGATTCTGATTTGATGAATTCAGATGTGCAACCAGATTTGATACAGATAAATGGCTTGCTCTCTAATTCTTTTCCTTATAGTCCCCTGTACTTTAATATCCCCAGAATGACACTGAAATCATATACCTTCAAGTACTTCAGAAAGTCCTGAACAAAAAACACAACACTTGACCCTAGAGTGAACATAATACTCTCCAAGTAGTAAATTTTCAAAGGTGAAAGGCCTACATTTCCTCATTTTTGTCTTTGTATAGAAGAAACCATCTATTTGTGTGTATCTATACATGAAAAGCAGTGAGGCTTTTTTAAGTAAAGTCGAATATTATTCCAGATATCTTCTGCTATGCATGGGTATATTCATTCAATTTTTATAGTTAAAAAGATATTTCATTACTCATATCATAAAAGGAGTTAATAAAATCCTCCATCTTTAATGTTTAAAAAATACTGAAGCACTGGCATGCATGATCTGAACATATTAACCTATTTAACTCTTCAGTTCCAAGAGAGAAGTAATGGTATCTCCATGTTGTACTAGGTCCTCAGTTCTCAACCTGTGAGTCGAGACCTCCTAGATTGCCTAAACCATCAAAAAACACAGATACTTACATTAGGATTCATAACAGTAGCAAAATTACAGTTATGAAATAGCAATGAAATAATTTTGTGGTGGGGGCTGCCACAACATGAGAAACATTATTAAAGGGTCACAGCAGTAGAAAGGTTGAGAACCACTGAGCTAAGTAAACTGAGAGTCAGAAATACTAAGACATATCCACCAATCTCAGTCCTTATATATTGGATCTGAAATTTAAATCTAAGCTTGTTTGATTTTTAAAACTTGGGCCAGAGAAGTTACTAGTGTATCTCTCCTGTGCCCCCTCTATTTGTGGTTATCGTATAAAAATGTAACAAAGGTCACTTCAATTTCTCACCAGTTGTTAAAAAGATAAGACCTTTGTAAAACAGGTGTGCCTCTTTTGTGTGATAGATTTTATACAATGTGACATTAGTTCTCCATTTTCTTTCAGTTTAGTTTTAGAAGGTGTGCCTTAAGATGAAGAAGCAGGGCTGTGCCAGTTGGGGAAGGTGAATGTCAGTGAGCTCCTGAGTGTGACTGAGAATACCACTTGCCTTCTTCCTTGGCTTTCTTCTTCTTCTCTGTGTTTCCTTGAGTGGGAGACACAAAAGACCACAGAGATAGAAAACTAATAGGCATTTCTCTGCCAAAATAAAAAAAGCAAAACAAAACATCCCCCCTGCCCCTCCCCACAAAACAGTCCAGCAAATCATAAAACTGTCATAGGGCAGTAAGACAAGTGCATGATGGGAGAAGTTCTGTTTGCTAGCTTGAGGGCAGTAGAAGTGGTCAGCACAATGAAAACCAGGAACACCCACACTACTGTCACCATTTCTTAGCCAACATGGAGAGGGGTCCTGGTGGCAGTGCAAAACCTGTTGTCAGAGCACAAGAATATCAGAATATGTATATGTATATATTCTGATGTGTATATCATATCACATCTACTAGACCCATGGCATGCATCCTTGGTGCATGGGTCAGTATATCTTTTTGGTGATAATAGAACCTGCTGTATTTCAGAATTAAAGAGAAAAACTTTTTAAATCAGGAAGCTCTTTGTATTTTTCCTACTAGGGGCTTAGAGTTGTAGACAGGTATGATTTTGCAGTTGAAAGATGTTTCCATGATCCTCCTGCATTAATCATTGAAATTCCAATGAAACTTTGAAAATATATTTATTATTTTAGGAGGAGGGTCATGCCAAAACGATGAATGTATGAAAGACAAATGACAGCTTGTGGGAGATGGTTTTCTAGGCAGCAGATGCTGTTACTTATTGAGCCATCTCTCTGGCCTACCTGTAATGTGGTCTGTAATCATCCCTCCTAGGATAAGTACCATATCTTGATATATTATGGAATTTCGAATGCCAAATACAAGGTAGTATGTAGTGCAGGTTTCTCTATCAACTGGTCAGTTTTCGGGCAATCTCATTAAGCTACTGTTATGTCATATAATGTGCTGCCAATCTGTATGCAGAACCTCACAGTACTCCCAACAACCTGTGTGAGCAGGACACAAAGACTTTCCCTGCACCTTCAATTCTGATTGGCACATGTGATGTTCATGTGTGGGCAGGTCTGCATGCATGCACTATGTGTGGAGGCCAGAGATCAACCCTAGATGCCTTTCCTTAGGCACCGTCCACCTGTTTTATTTTTTAGCTCCTTTGGCCTGGCCATCACTGAGTAGAGCAGGCTGGTAGAGCAGGGATCTCCAGGTTCCTACCTGTCTCACCTGCACAGCACTGGGATTACAAGTGCATGTGACAACAGCTAGTCTGTTCCTTGTCTTTTATCACCCAGGCTCTGGTGATCAAACTCCGGTCCTTGTGCTTTCACAAGTTTTTTCTCCCTAGGTCTAATCCTGAATTTTTAAATTAACCAATATTTTAAATAAATATTGGTTAGTGATGAGTAGAAACGTGTGACTACAATGGTGGAATATAATAGATTTGCCTAGTATTCTTGAGCTGGGTTTATGCTCAGATTGACCTTGAACATGAAAGACAGAAGCAGAATTAAGCTTATAGGGGAAGTACAATTTTGGGAAAGCAAATAGAATGTGAGAACCGTGACTGCACTAGTTTGTCTGTTGTGGGGGCGACTCACAAGTCAGCAACATATGGCTTCATTTTCTTAGTTGTTTGTCACCCACCACCAGTTAACCACAGGGGCTTAAAGTGGGACCTGCTGAGTAGCACTTCCAATGTATTTAGCATGAATCCAACACGGATTTAGAATTCTATGTCCACTGGGGCTGAAGGATAATGCAGAAGATTGGGCAAGGGTCCAGATGGTAGCAGTCTATGTGGTGGATCCCTGGACAGTAGGACCCTCTGCAGGAGTCTGATAAACAAGAGCTCCTTACTTTGCTGATGAAAGGTGTTTGAGCAGTGGTAAAGTCAATGGTCTTCTGTTTCTTATATGGCTGTTGTGTAAAAGGTGACATCATTATTTTCACCATGAATGGAACTAGGAAACTGCATTTACTTTTGGAGTTGAAGGAGATTTGGAAGGGGCATAAATAACTCAATTTGGGGGTGGGAAGACTTTTTAACTGCAAGTGTTGTTCCTGACAAAGGAGGAGGATGATGGATACTGTTGCCAGTTAGGGGGAGGAACAACCTAGGTAGAGATTAGCAAGCCCTTTAGAGCCCATTGCTTGCTGTTCATGTCCCATTGTGCTAGGCATTTCAGGTAGTAAAACAGTCTCCCTTTCCCTTTGCATCTTTTTGGATAGTATACGGTGAAGAGCTTGTTGTTAGTGTTTTTGTAATGCAGAGGTTAAACTGCTGGCTGAGCAGCACTGCACCTGCAAACACACCCTGCTCCTTCCTACAAGTGCAGCAATATTGTCAGTTCCAACTTTCCTTTTCTTTTTCTGCAGAAAATTGCCTGCGTGCCCTCCTCGTTTGCTCTACAATGAGTGCCAAATCTGCCATCAGCAAGGAAATTTTTGCACCTCTTGATGAAAGAATGCTGGGAGCCGTCCAAGTCAAGAGGAGGACAAAGAAAAAGATTCCTTTCTTGGCAACTGGGGGTCAAGGCGAATATTTAACTTATATCTGCCTATCAGGTAATGAAAATTAGATAATAATAGCAAACCACTTTTGTTTGAAGATGCTTAATTCTAAAGCATCTGGGAGGGTTGCGCTCATTTGCCTTCCACTCCTTTTCTTGTCTCTGTTGTTGCCCTCTCACCCTTCTTTCCTTGTGCCTTCTCCTCTGTTGTTGAGATTTCTTTGTACTGGAAAGATCGTGAAGTTCAGTCTTCCAATCCCTGAAGAGTTTCTGCAGAGTTTGGCAAGCGTGTTCCTATTCATTCTTTCCTTCAGAGGGATCGGTCTGTCCTTGGGGAGTTTTGGTTTAGAACCCTTCTTGGTATTTGGATAATTGTCACTACTAGCAGACTGGGCTTCACTTTTTCCCCTAGATCATTGCCAACAATTAGTAACAGTTTTCTTTGAGACAAATATTGGTACTTTATGGAATAGGAGAAAGAAGTTTACAAGTCATTGCTTTGCCTGACAGCCACTGCCAAGTGAAAAATAACCATCTGTTTTTATAAGCTTAGAATTTTGTTGGAATATTATTTTTTCTTTCTGTTTGTGATTAGAGGAGATCTGTGGGATTTACTGTGGATACCTACCAAGTTTTTTTGAGATAAGTTGAGATAAATTTTCCATGAGCTTCTGAATGATGCTAAGCTAAGCACTGAGGGCATTTGTAATATTTTTCATGGTATTTCTCATAATAGGAATGGATAAACTAATCTTACCACAGTTCATCTTTTGCAAGATCTTTTGGAGTTGTGGTTTGGGAAGAAAACTTTAATTTTAAAACCTGTTTTTGGCTTTGAATGAAAATTAAGCTTCTAATAAGTTGTTTAATGGTAGTGGTGATGAGAGGGCATCGGATCTTTTTATAATTCAAGGTATAAATGACTTCATCAGATAGATATGAATTTATAAGACACAGATTAGAATGAAATGAGAACACTGTACTTTGATAAGCATGCTTTTATAATTATTCCATGAAAATTTGTATTTATTCAGAGGACTAGGGACTCAACCTGGAAACACTAGTCTCTCCTTCCTAAATAAGGACTAGGTTGACCAAATTTGGGTATGGTTAGGAAATATTTGTGTTTCTTTAGTATAGTTAAGCACTGTCCAAATGAGAGCTCATTTAAGAACCAGTGTTTTTCAAAAAAGTAAAAAAAAAAAAAAAATCAGTTGGGAGGTAGTGATGCACACACCTTTAATCCCAGCACTTGGGAGGTAGAGGCAGGAGGATCTCTGTGAGTTTAAGGCCAGTCTGGTCTACAAAGGGATTTCTGGGATAGCCAAAGCTACACAGAGAAATCCTATCTCAGAGAAAAATGGGGGAAAAAACCCTTTCTTTTCTTTGTTTTGTGTGTTTGTGTGTGTGGGGTGTTTTCCCTGCATGTGTGTCTATATGACATGTGTGTGCATTGGTGGTGGTGATGGGAGGGCATCGAGTCTTCTGCAACTGGGGAGCCACCTTGTGGGTGCTGGAATTGAATCTGGGGCACCAGGAAGAGCAGACAATGTTCTTCATCATGAGGTCATCTCTCCAGCCCAAAAGAACTTCCTCAATACCAGCCTAGGATTTTGTTGATAAGATCAACGTCTTAAAAATAATTTGTTATTTTAAAATTTGGACCCTAGAGCATTTTTTTGTTTGTTTTCTAATACCAACAATGGACAAAGTACATATAATAATCTTGTTTTGCATTTGGCTGAGCATAGACATTTAATATTCTAACCTTTTAAAGCTTGATTCTCTTCACTCTTCTGAGATTTCTTACAGACTCCTAATTGAATGAAAACTTCATCATCCAGAAGGCAGTTGGATTTTGCCTGGTATATATAAGTATAATTGAAGGACAACAATTTTCTTCAGCTTTTAGACTTATATTTTTATCTCTGAGAGTGGTAATGGGGTTCTAACAATGTCATCACAGGGAAGTCTTATAACCATCACTCATACAGTTGGAGATAACGACCTGGGACTTTCAGCTGCATTCCTGTTACAATTACCAAGTCCTTCAGGTTGGAAGTGTAAAATGACAAGAGATTTTTTTTCCTTGAATTCTAATAGAGGAAGATCCCTTGTTCTGTAAGTCTTTATCCTTTTCATTTTTTTTAAATTGTGAGAGGCTATGTAAAGTAGATATGACATTTTAGCAGACAATAGAATGGAAACCAAGACAGAAAAGGGCCAGGTGACTTTGACACACACATTGTTGCATTTTATGATTTTCTTAGAAATGGCAGAGTAATAACCTCCTTTATTTTCTGATTTGTGCAAAACTTGGAGGCATATCAATTCTGATAAATAATGCTTTAACTAACATTTTAATTAGTAATTTTTGTCTTTTATGGGCTGAGTGTCCTAGGTGCTAAGGATAGAGTTATAAGAGAAAAGATTTTTCAAGTTAATATTAAACTATGAAGAAGGCAAAAGGGGAAAATACAAATATACATGTCTGGGAGAACTAGTCCTGTTTTGTAGAAAAGCCGTCCATGTTTTGAACTGGCAGTATTCAGCCAGAGCAATGGTAGTCTCATTAGCAGCGCAAGTGGCCTTAGGCTTCTCTTATTTCCTCTGGACTACTTTGTAGCTGACCACTAGTAGGAAGTTTTGCTGTTACCACCCCCTTGCTATTAGTATAAATGATTATGCTTTTTAGGAGGCCAGTCCCTTCACCCATTGTAGCACAGTGGTGAAAACCAACTATTCATTTATAACTAGCATATTTTGTATACATTAGGGCAAAGTCTACAAATAATCTTAACCATCCTTTCAATACTATGAAGTATTAAAATGGAGACAAGCAAGAAGCTTAGAAAATATGCATCTAAGCAATGATATAGTAGTATAATATCTACTAGTGTTTGTGTGAATTTTTCTCAGTGTCATGCATAATGTATAATCTGAGAACCAGAGGTTTTGACCATAAAGGTATTTGTGTCTGTGTATGTATGTATATATGTATGTATGTATGTATTATGTATGTATGTATGTATGCATGTATGTATATGAACTTCCTAAGGTTATTTAGCTATTATTTTGGAAGGAGAAAGATACTCAGTCCAATTTATTCACAGTGAGATTGATTTCACAGCTTCTCAATGGCCACCCAGGTCTCATTTTCAGAGAGAGCATACCTTTAACCCGAGCACATGGGAGGCAGAGGCAGGTGGATCTTTGAGTTAAAGGCCAACCTGGTCTACCAAGTGCGTTCAGGTCAGCCAGGGCTACACAGAGAAACCGTGCCTCAAAAAATAAATAAATAAAGGAAAAGCGTTCATATGAAAGTCTTATAAAGTGAGGCAGTCACAGTACCATATACATAGTCATGTACTTAGTAAATCTCTCATAAACAATGCACCTTGTTACAAAAAATCAATGACATGTTTTTGCTCATGACAACCCAATATCAAGTTGTTCTGCTTTACTGAATTATGAGCTCTGTGAACCAAGAACTTGGTCTTTAATTACATGTAATGCTTCATACAGGGTACTTACTATTAAACTGTCAGTAATTTTAAACAGAATAGTACAGGGTGAGTTGAAGAACAAACTTATATCAACATGTATTTCCTCAGCATTCAAGACACTGTCCATTCACCAAATTGGGCAGAATTTCCTTACTACCAACTCCCACACTTCTTAAAAATTTACTTTGTTTTCATTTAATGTTTTTATTAGTTTAAATTAGAAACAAGCTGGCTTCACATGTCAATCCCTGCTGCCTCTCCCTCCCCTCCCACCCCCATCCAGGCTGAGAGAGCATCCCTCCATGTGGGATGGGCTCCCAAAGTCACTTCTCAGGCTGGGGATAAATACTGATACTACCAGAAGCCCCGTAGAGTGCCGAAGCCTCCTCACTGACATCCACTTTCAAGGGTGGGGATGAGACCCATGATGGCCTTCCAGCCATCAGTCTGGGTTCCATGTGCTCCTCCTTGTTCAGGTCAGCTGTTTCTGTGGGTGTCCCCAGCCCAGTTGTGGCCTCTTTGCTCATCACTCCTCCCTCTTTGCAACTGGGTTCCAGAGTTCATTTCAGTGTTTAGCTGTGGGAGTCTGCCATTGCTTCCATCATCCACTGGATTAAGGCTCTAGGATGTCATATAAGCTAGTTATCAGTCTCATTATAGGGGAAGGGCATTTAGGGTAGCCTCTCCACTATTGCTTAGATTGCCAGTTGGTGTCATCCTTGTAGATCTCTAGAAATCTCCCTAGTGCCAGATCTCTCCTAGAGCCTATAATGGCTCCCTCTACTATGATATCTCTCATCCTGCTCTCCTCTATTCTTTCCCCTACTCAACCCTCCTGCTCCCCCATTTCCTCCTCTCTCCTTCTTCTTCTCCTAGCTCCCTCTCCCCTACCCCCCATGCTCCCAATTAGCTCAGGCGAACATGACCCCTTTCCCTTTTCCAGGAGACCATGCATTCTTCTGTGTATTTTCACATGGTCTTGGCTTACCAGAGAACACCTGGCGTGTCCTCTCTTCCAGGTCTCACATAGTATCTCATTTTGCCCACCTTTCCCCAAATTCTCCTTGTCTCCTAGTCCCGCCTATCTTTCTGCCTTATTGGCTAATAGTGTTTTATTCATCAACCAATAAGAGAATCATATATACAGAAGGACTTCCCCCATCATCTCCTCTTTTTCTGCCTAAATAAAAAGAAAGGTTTTAATTTTAACACAGTAAAATTAAATATAACAAAACAGTTATCAAGCAAGAACTACAGTTAACAATATTTAGTCCATTAACATTTGGCAAAATTTATAGAAAATATCCTATCTTTGTGAGTCTACAGTTTTATATATAACTTATCTTTTATCATAACTAAGGAAAACCGTAAGTATCTGTCTTTAACTCCATCAAAGACAACAGAAGGATAATATATAAACTCTAGAATTCACAGAGACACCTTGCTGTCTGGACAATTACCCAGAGTTCTTCTGTAATGTTAGTGCATCCATCTTTAGCTCATAGGCTGTAGTGTGTCTGACAGACTTATCAGCAAAGCAGGAAATTTG